GAACAGACACTGACCATAAGCAGCCATACATTTATACGGCCTTAGCAGGGGCGCCTGGGTGGCGCAGTCGGTTGAGCGTCCGACTTCAGCCGGGTCACGATCTCGCAGTCCGTGAGTTCGAGCCCTGCTTCGGGCTCTGGGCTGATGGCTCAGAGCCTGGAGCCTGTTTCTGATTCTGTGTCTCCCTCTCTCTCTGCCCCTTCCCTGTTCATGCTCTGTCTCTCTCTGTCCCAAAAATAAATAAACGTTGAAAAAAAAAAATTTTATACGGCCTTAGCAGTATATCCTGGCTGAACCGCCTGTACATGTGCACATGCGTGTGTGTATATGCCAACAGCACCAAATATTTCTTCTAATTGGAATAGTATCAGATTTCCGTCTATAGTCTGTTTCTTTCACTCAGTAGGTTATGGATATTTTCCCATGTCAATATAAAAATACAGCACCACGCTTAATAATTATAGACTTTTCCACTATATAAAGCCAGAATAATTTATTCAACCAGTTTTCCAATTTTTTCACTGTAAGGAATTGGGTCCAATGGCTCCATTTCGATTTGCTGCTTACGTTGTTTTGTGAGATCATGACCTTCACCAAACCACCAAAAAGTAACAAGAGGATGGGCATCTGTTCCCATAAAAATACAGTCCCTTAATAGATGGAGATCAGGATCTTCCCTTGGTCTCCCAGCTGTCCTGAGCCAGTTCTATACTGAGTATCCACCTTGCAGTATGAGAGGCCCTGGCCAGGACAGCTTGCTTCAGGGTCAGGATCTTCTAAGGAATGACCTTTGTATTTATTCTTCTACGCACTGCACTTCGGCTTCCGCAGAGTTCTTAACTAACTAAAGTGTTAGTTAACTAACACTACGGTTTTGACTACCCTCATTTCCTTCTGCATCTGGCCTCCCTGGAATCCTTCTGCATCTCTGGGGTCTTGCGTGGCCTGACGCCAACAAGTGTTGCATCCACCAGTGCTGTGATTTCTGCTCACAGGCCTCACTCCTGACCCAACCTTTGTCTTGATCTTTGATGTGGCTCAGATTTCTGGCTTCTGGCTACCCTCTAGCCCCAGAGTACTTCTTCGCCTTCTGTTAACTCGGATCGTGTCTTGGTTCCAGACAGGTCATTTAAGTGCATATCTGCTTTCCTAAACTCATTTGAATCAAGCACATAAGTAAGAGGGGGGTCTATGTCTCATCTGGTTGGGCAGAGTTCTGTAACTGGTAGTCCAGAGGTGTACCACCAATCTGTCAAACCTAGATTTTTCCTTTCATCCATTGCTTGTTGCTCAAATAATGGCTCATTGAAGCACTTCTAGTTTATGAGCACTAATCTGTAATCTATAGTAAGTTCCATCATGTTTAAAACTCAAAACTCATAGTGAATCTTCTGGAGAAATCAGGGTAGAGCTGGAGAATACCAAGTGGTCAGGTATTAATAAAAGTCTTGTTCAATTTGATGTTGTAAGGAAGACTGTTACTTCAAGCTTTGGAAGTGAATCAAATTTGCTCAAGGAGGCAGCTGCCAAGATTCTCAAAACAACCTGGCTAGTAGGTTGTTAATTGCATGTGCAACATGTGATAAAGCTATTCTGAGAAAGGAAATAGGGCTGTTCCATTTGGCTCCACTTTTCAGAGTAAAGGCAGGAAAGCAGGATCTGCAGATAGGATTTTAGGAACCCTGCAGAGAGAGACTCTCCTCCCCAGAAATACAAAAGAAATAGAAAACCAGGAGGACAAGAGTAAGGAGCTGGAGCAGAGGGAAACGTCAGTGGAAGAGGAGCCAGAGGAAGAGGAGGAGGAAGACTAGGAGGAAGGGGAGAAGTCAGAAGATGGGGAGGAATCATCAGAAGGGAAGGACCAACTGGAGTGGGAGGAGCCAGAAGTAGAAGAGAAGAGGGAAAGAGGGATACTGGTTCCCCAACGTTGAAAAACTGGCATATTCCTATCGTGAAAACCAAGGGTGAGAACTGAGGAGACAGAAAAAGAAAAACGTAAGCAATCCAAACAAGGAGGGCCCAAAGCTATAGTTGAGGGGAATGTTAAACATTTTGGTGTTATTTTCGCATTTTGTAAATATTTGGTTTTGACTTTTATCCAGGTTAACATACACACATATATCAACGAGTTAACACATACATATATTAAGGAGTCAGGAGGGATTCTGATGCCAATCAAAAGTTTGAGGAAGAGTCACAAAGCCTGGATTACTGGATAGGGCTTATCAGGCTGAGATAACACATTATAAACGCATTTAAAGAAAAGCACCTTTGACAACCACATAGATAGGATAAGCTTGAAAAAACTGCTAACAGTGCAACTCCCTTTTTACAGATGAGGACACTGGCTCAAAAGGAAGATGCTTGCCCACACTCAGAAATATTCAGTGTCATAGCCCGAACTCTTAACACTGGCCTCCTGGCTCATTTTCCAGTATTCTTTCTACTATATTATAATGGCCTTGAATTTGCCTTAGGATGCACTGCTTTTTAAAAAATTATACTCAATATTTGGGGCACTTGGGTGGCTCAGTTGCTTAAGCGTCCGACTCTTGATTTTGGCTCAGGTCATGATCTCATGACTTGTGAGATCGAGCCCTACACTCGCTGACAGTGCAGAGCCTGCTTGGGATTCTCTCTCTCCCTTTCTCTCTGCCTCTCCCCTGCTCTCTCTCTCTCTCTCTCAAAATAAATAAGCATTTAAAAAAATAAAAATAGGTTAAACTCAATTTTTTTCTGATGAATTTTTTTGGTTGACTAATTTTGGTTTGGGTTACTTTTATTTTGTTTATTTATTTTCATAGAGAAACCAAATTTTACATAAAAACAATAGAAAGCTTTTGCTTTGAATCCAGGTAGGTTCAAGCAGAAATCATCAATCTTTTATATCAAGAGAAACGCCAACTCTGCAATTCCACACTGGAAGACGTGGGCATATCGTCACCAGCTGGTAGCAGCATATCTCAAGTAAAGAGAGGAGAACCAAGAGCCACATATTGCGTGGTTGTATTCCTAGCCAGGAGCCTTCATTCCTAGGTCTCTTTATCTGAGGTCTTGACCTCTGGAGGCCTCCTTCCAGAGGAGGAGGAAGGAACCTTGAAGATTCTCTCCCCCACTCCAACTTGGTACCCAGTACTTTTCTACCCTTAGCCCTTCCCCCACAGCTTCTTCCACCCTCTCCCCATCTCAGGTCCATAAAACTGCTGAACCCCTTTGGCTGAGCCCCTCAGCAGGGAGAAGACCCCCACCTGACCCTCCACCTGTGCACTTTTCCATGGGGGAAAATGGAACAAGAGGAGTCCAGTTTTAGCCTTTTGTTTATACCATTGCTGGGCTCTCTCCCAGTTCAGCCAAGCTCCTGAAATCCCCCTCAGGAATCCTTTAGCTGCTTGGTGGTCTCACCAGCAACCAGGCAGCAAGCAATTCAGGATTTAAGCACATTACCCAATCTCTACATTGCCCATTTCCATGGGACTAGGAATATCTTTGTGATAACCAGGCAAATGATCTCTTTGCCCATCTGGTCTCAATATATGAAACTCTCAGCATTACTTAACCAGCAAAAGGGCACAGAGAAGAACTAAAATTTACTCAGTGTCCACTCTGTATGCCACTCCCTTTACATTTATCACTTTGTTCAGTCCCCACAGTAACCCCTTCTGGTGGGTGCCATCATTCCTATTTTACAGATGAGAACACTGAGCAACTTCACCAACGCAAACACCTGGCAAGCGGTGGCCCCAGGACGCTAGCTGGGACCTTTCCTCTATGTCCTGTCCACCACCCCACAGCACCTTTCTAATAGTCACAGGCTGGTTCTCTGCACGGATGAGCTGTGAAATCCACCCTTGCTGGCTCCCAGAGAAGATGGTCGCAGACACCCCAGGAGCAGGACTACAAGTACCTTCGGGTCATCTTTCACCCCCAGAAAGAGGTCATCCTTCAGCTTTTTTTGGCAGTGCTCACACGTGCAGTCAAAGTAGTACTGCTTCTTCAGCTGCCTCTTGCGCTCCTCACTGACGTTAAGGAAGTCGATATAGGATACGGTCAGCTCCTCTCCTTCTGAGATCTTGCCCAGGGCCCGGAGCTCAATTCTGGACAAGGTAGAGGAAAGAGTAAATCAAATACAGGGCTCTCAGAGTGGGGTCTCTGCTCTCCAAGGTCGCAGGGAGTTGAGTCTTAAAGATAACTCCCACTAGCACTCCAAGAAAACTCCCAATCCCACCCCCACCCCCAAAGGACCCAAAGGACAATTTTCTGGATAATTCTGCTCTACACATTATAACAATCAAATCTGCTCCATTCAGTTAATTGCTCTGAAATCCAATTAAATGGATTCCCAGGAGAGGGCTGGGCACAGTCACAAAGCCATACGTAGCTTCCTCGCCTGCAATTATCCCTGTACATTTAGCTACTGGATGCCTGCAACAAAGGAAGGGAGAAATAATAAGGTAAACATTCCAAATAGGAGAAGACTCAACAGTTGCCTCTGCTTAGTTTAGAGACTACTCTTTTGAAAGTACGTACATTCAGTTACCCACAATTGTGGCCTGTTCTGGGTTCAACATTAAGCCCTCCCTCACCTACCCCTCAGTCCACTGGTTCTGGTCTACGTTATGGAAAGAGACAGGCCTGGAGATCACTGATGACGAATAAACAAAGGCTGGCTCTGTTAGCCTGCTGCATTGTTCATTTTGTATTTACGGGGGGGGACGCGGGCTTTGGTTGAAGGTAGGTAGCAACAGCAGATGGCATTTCAATCCCCTTCCAGCCTAGACCTGACCCTCTCATTACCTACAGCACTACCACCTTACCAGGTAACAGATACAGAAGGTGCTGAGGACAAAAGCCCACTCACTGCAGAGCTGATATCCAGCTAAGCCAAACAAGCAGAGCAGCTCGTGGGCCTCTCAATCATGCACCCTCCACCACAAGGCCAGGAGCTACAGAGAACAACCGGGGAGCCCCGCAAGCTGGCTGCCTAGCTGTGCTCTTGTGTCCCCCCAGGATCTTCTCACTGCCCAGTGGGAAGCCATCACCCAGAGAGTGGGTGGCAGGACACAGAGGGCTGGGGAGAACATCTGCAGACAGGTCTGTGTTTATTTCCGCTACCTCCCAGAGAGGCTGAGTCAGACACCATGTGACCGGCAGCCCCTTCCACACACTCTGAGGTGGCAACCAGGTGAGTAACCACTGACTGGAAGTGACAGGCATGTCCAAGTATCTTAGGTGACCACTTAAGGTAAAAAAGCCTTCTCCCAAATCGGGGTACCCTGACATGCCAAATAAACGTGATAATATATACAAACAATTCAGAGGGAGCCTGGCAAAGTCTCAGTGCCTGTTCATGTGCCCATGGGACCCCTTTCTTTTCTCCCCCACCCCAATTTTTGGCAGCAGCTGTCCTGCCATGGTGAAAGGCAAGAGGGAGAGGTGAGTTGTATGATTCTCCTCACAGCCCAGCTTAGAATCCTAATAGTCTCAGCTGCAGGGGATCAACGTCCCCATTTCACAAGGGAGGGCACCGCCACCCAGAGAGGGGAAGGAACTCCCCCCATGAGGTCCCACAACACTTTGGCAACAGTCAAGACGAAAAATCGAGTGCCATTCACACTTCACCTCAATATAATCCTCTCCCTAGAGTGTCCTCAGTCTGCCTCCCAGGTCTGCCATGCACAGGGAAAGAAATGCACCAAAGCCTTTGACTTCAGAGCTCTGTCAATGTTCTAAATCGTTCCATGCGAACAACTCCTGGGCCAGTGTTGAGTGTGGATCTCTGGCATCTGGTCCTGGTAAGGTAAGTAATTCTGCCCCCACCAACCCCACACGGCTCCATTGTGACATATTCCCATTCAACAGTGATTCAATGCCAACTGAGTGAGGATTCCCAATAGCCTTTCTTCCTATCACAGCTCAGTCAGTTCTCGCAAGGTCTCAGAGTATCTCAAATTATCTCAATTATGTAGAGAATTTTCAAAACCAAATGAACTTAGTGTCCCTCAAATATGAAAATATGCATGCCCCATTTCACCTTACTTGGGATTCGGGGTCAGGGGATGAATTGCAACCATCAGTCCATTCTCCCTTTTCCATCTTTAATGCCTGCAATTCTGGAGTTCAGCTAATTGAGGCACACATAGGCAACTTATTTAACGTATTTATTTCTTGGAGAGATTAGAAATGCAGTGCAGAGCCCCAGAGACTTAAAACTAGGAAGGTCCCTAGAGATGTGCTCATCTTGACCTTTGCTCTCCAGATGTGGGACCCACATCCCATTCCCAAGGGATGATGGGAATCATCCAAAGTCACATGTAATCCAGACCAACACACACTCCAATGCAGCAACCACTCCTACCCCTGCCTTCCCAGAGCCCAAACTCCCATGCAGAGTTTTGTTCTTAATCTAAAGAGCATTTCAAGTACTTTCAAACCCAGCCTGAGAAATAGATCCACCTGGGGCCATTTATTTGTCACTAAGAAAAGTCAAAGCAAAATCTTACCTAAACCACTAACTCATAGTTGGCCAGAAACATTGAAAAAACAGCGTAAATAAATATTTATCAAAAAGATTGCAGCTACTATACTCAGAAGACAGTCTGGGTGAGAAATTGGGGGTTATACATAAACACAGTCCCTTTAGTACGTCAGTAATATCAGTATCCTCATTTTATATAAGCAGGACTTCGACGGACAGCGTGGGTTTTGCTAAGGTGATGTGGACTAGAAGGGACTGGCATGCTTTGGGATTGGGGTAGTGAGAGAAGCAAGGAGTGAAAGGAAAGAAAAGAAGCAAAGGCACGGTGGGGAGTGGGTGGGTGAGGAACAAAACGATTAATATATATGCATTTAAAATATAGCATTCAGCAAAGATCAGACTCTGGGCTGTGGAAGGATATTACAGCCAGAGAGCAGCTTCGGAGTCTCGGGAGGGGGCGGCCCCAGCAAACCAGGCAAGTGAGGGAGATGGGTCAGAGGGGCAGGGATGCTTGCAAGGACTGACCCACCTCATCTGGGTGTGAAACATGGATTTCACTGCCTCATGACTGAAAGACAAAACAGACACCCGAATGGAAGTCATTACCATCGGCTGGTCCAGTACAGCTAGCAAGGGAGCACAGCATTCCAGCTTATGCAATGAAAGCTTTGGCCATCACCACCACCTTTATCCCAGCCCCTTCCAGTGGGGGCTCACTTGACAAGAAGCAGACTGCTATAGTGGAAAGTGCACTGGATTTAGAATGAGAAGTTCTGGGTTCAAAGGTCCTCAGCTCTGGACAAGTTATTTCCCTTTCCTGGGCTCACCGTCCTCAACTGCAACCTGGTAATGGGACTACCATGAGACAGTGCATTTAATAATAGGTGCTAAACCCTGTATGGGTGCTGTTATCTTACTCCCAAGCATCGTGGCCTCTTTGATGTCTATCTTGGGGACTGTGTGAACTGCAAATGGAGGTTGGTTCGGTCACATAGGTAGTATGTAAAATTCCATTGGGTTAGAATTGGGTTCTTTCCACTATGGCAGGCAGCTAGACTATGACTGCAAAATCACCTTCTTTTGCACAACAGCCAAGAAACCAGGTAAATATGGCTGCTCAGTGGATGCAAAGAAGCCAGAGCAGACATCAGATTTGGTCTGAAGAAAGGGTTCCTGGGCTCCTACAGCTGTTACATGTAGTGACAAGGGGAGCCCTGGGTCAACACTGCTTAGGGGAGTGGTGTCCCAAAAGACCAGCCCATATATGGCTGAATTTGATCCTCAGCCAAGCAGGCTAACCTGGGACAACAGCCCCTCTGAGGAGTATTCTATGAGGTCCACGTCAATGACCCCAAGAGGCTTAGCAAGGGAAATGCAAATTCCGGGGAAAAATGATCTGGGTCCCAAATAAACTTCTCTGTCTTGAGTAACTTTCTCACTTGCTTAGAGCCTGGTGTCATGCAGGCCTTTGTTTCCAGAAATAGGAAGGAAAAGGGAAAGCAGAGTCCTTGCTATATTGGGGTTTAGGCTTGATTCTTGACTAAGAACCAGAAACCATTGTCTCTGGCTTCCAGGAAGTTTGGGGGCAAAGCAGCTCATTGTTGATGGCTCAGAGTTGACTTACACCTGTCATAAAATCTTGTCTCATCTCTAAGAGCAAAATAAGTAATATTGCTTAGGCTTCGTCCTCCAAATTCCCCCAGCCCTGAGTCATGGACAGCCAGGCTCTCATTCTGTTTGCTGACTTCTCCATTTATGCCCATCCCAAGATCCATTCTTTGTCCTTCTGTCCCCTGATCTGTGCCTTGGGAGTTGGGGGTGAGGGGGGATGACCTCTGGGAGCCTCATCACCCAGAGTCCTTTGCTCTCTGGCTTCTGGTTGGAGTTTGGCCAGTGGGAGGGGATCAGAAGATGGGAGGAGAGGGAGGCTGGGGTATTTAATTCTCCTGGCTCCCTCTCTGCCTGGCCATGGTTCCAGCAGTGCCAGTTTTCTCTACCAGTACAGCCAAGCCACTGGGTGGGGAGTGGAGAAACGGAACTCTCCCATGCTACAGCTCTCACCAGATGCAGGAACAGTACTTCCTCCACCTGCCCCTCCAGGTCTGGAGGTGGTAAGGATTTCATACTATTGCTAGACCCTGCACACCTCACCATTCCTTGTTAGTTTCTTAAACGTTACCCCTACTTCTGTAAATTTTCCTGTTATTAAATTATCTTTGGGTAAACACTGAGTGTACCTTCTGATTTCTGCTGGGACCTTGACTAATATATGCTTCTGCCAAGCACCTTCTCAGTTGATGTTGTTCTGCAATGACTGCCTGATAGATAATCCCAGGCTTTGAGCTTTAAAACAGTAAAGGTTTGGAGCGCCTGGATGGCTCAGTCAGCTAAGTATCTGACTCTATATTTCAGCTCAGGTCATGATTTCATGGTTCGTGGGACAGAGCCCCACATCCATGCTGACAGCATGGAGTCTACTTGGGATTCTCTCTCTCTCTCTCTCTCTCTCTCCCTCTCAAAATAAATAAATTACCTAACACACCTAGGCAGCTTCAAGAAACATGCAAAGACTCAGTTATTACCCATGTGGAATCCTTTGCTTTCTCATTACCTTTCTCTTATCCACAATTATTCTAGAATGAAATGTTTTTTATTTTTAAAAAAAATTTTTTTTTGTTATCTTTATACCCAATGTGGGGCTTGAACTAATGACCCCAAGATCAAGAGTCGCTTGCTCATCCAATTGAGCCAGCCAAGTGCCCCTAGAACAAAATTTCTATTTGCTGCCCAGTCAAAATCCATGCTAGTTCAGGTTCCACAGTTTGGTTTAGGTCAAGTAGAGAAAACACAATAGGGTCCACATCCCCATGATACCATCCCCAGTTAAAGACATACTCACTTGCCATTGTTAAATATAACGGTGCAGTTGGGCCAACAGTCATGGTTCACCAAGCCCAGGTTGGGGAAGATGCCCACACCCACTGCCTGCAGGCCTCTCTGGTCACTGAGTGTGAAGCCATTGCAGCTAATCTACTCAGAGGAAAAGATAAAAGAGTCGATTAACAGACATAGACCAAGGACAGAACACCATCTTGTCTGTTCAAAGTTCAAGAAAATAGAAGACTCAGTCTAATCCTGGAGATGCTTAGAGTCTGCAACAAAACAATTAATCTCTTGTTCTCTAGGTGACTTCAAAGGACCCTCAAGGTGAGCACCCTGGAAGAGTACTGTACTTGCCAAAAAACAAAGCCACCTTGGAAGCTTTTGGTAGCTGCATTCTAAAAAGGCCAAAGACGGAAACGTTGGTTCTGAGAAGTCTCCCTCTTTTCCTGTTTCTGGGTCTCACATGAGTTTTCCCCAGTATCTATTTTGGTTTTTCTCCATGACCTGCTCTGCCTTACTCTGTGTATGTGTGTGCATGCACATGCGCATGTGTGTGTGTGTGTGTGTGTGTGTGTGTGTGTGTGTGTGTGCATAGATACAGAGGGCTGTGTGCCTCCCCTGCTTCCTTTGCCTACCCACCCTCAACTCCTATAGCTGCTCATAAAATTGACATCTCTTTTTGATTGTTTTGGGTCTGGTGGATGGATATTTTTTACTCCTGTTCACAATTTTAAAATCTGTTGAGTGCAACACTTAACATATATCTTTGAATGCAAGACAAATCAAGTTGGTTACTAGTTATGTGGCACTCTATTGATTTCCTTTCCCCCCAAATCACTTATTCTTTATAGAAACAGATTCCAAATACCTTTTCTGAAAAAATGCATAAGAATAAATACAACCTAGAATATATTAACCACTGCACACAAACGTCTGCTATCTGCATAAATACGTATGTAAACATGTGCTACACTGTGCTCATGCATATGCATGCATGCACTCACGTGGCTATGTGTCATAGATATTGCAGGAATGTCCCTTTCTCCATTCAATCTCGTCAGTCATTCAGCAAATACATGAAGTCAAGCCTGTCAGTTCCACTAACAAGCTGTTACCTCGGGCAAATTTCCTTCTTCCCTGAGCCTCAGTTTTCCCATCTGTAGGTTGGACTAGATGATCTCTAAGAGTTCTTTCAGCTCTGCACTTTGGTGATTATGTGGTCCTGTGAATCCAGTCCCTGGACCACTTTAGTGATACCCAGGATCGGTCTGTGACACCCATTCACCCCAAGGCTATAGAGCATAACTGCTAAGAGTAAAAAATCTAGAATCACCTGCCAGACTGCTTCTAGTCCTTTCTTGGATACCAGCCCATTATCACTATGTGGGCTTTGGAGATAACATAGCCTCTCCAAGCCTAGGCTTCCTATTCTATAAAATTGGAGTGCTAAAAGCAATGATTTCAGCTTGTATTTAAAGATTGCATAAAATAAATATATGGAAAGCTATGATGGTTAATTTTATGGTTAATCTGGGCTGTAGTACCCAGATATTTAGTTAAACAGTATTCTGTATATAACATTTAAATTGGTAGACTAGGGGTGCCTGGGTGGCTCAGTCAGTTAAGTGTCCAACTTCGTCTTCATCTCAGGTCATGATCTCACAGCTCGTGAGTTCGAGCCCCACATCAGACTCTGTGCTGACAGTTCAGAGCCTGGAGCCTGCTTTGGATTCTGTGTCTCATCTCTCTCTGCCCCTCCCCTGCTAGCTCTCTCTCTCTTTCTCTCTCTCTCAAAAATAAATAAACATTAAAAAGTTAAAATCAATCAATCAATCAATCAATCAGTAGACTCTGAGTGAAGCAAACTAGCCTGCATAATAATGTATAGGTGGGCCTCATGCCATCAGCTGAAGCCCGTATTTTTTTTTACATTTTTAAAAAATATAATTTATGGTCAAGTTAGCTAACATACATTGTATACAGTGTGCTCTTGGTTTCGGGGGTAGATTCCCATGATTCATCGTTTACATACAACACCCAGTGCTCATCCCAACAAGTGCCCTCCTCAGTGCCCATCACCCATTTTACCCTCTCCCCAACTGCCCCATCAATCCTCAGTTTGTTTCTGTATTTAAGAGTCTCTCATGGGTTTACCTCCCTCTCTGTTTAAAACTATTTTTCCCCTTCCCTTCCCCCATAGTCTTCTATTAAGTTTCTCAAGTTCCACATATGAGTAAAAACATACAATATCTGTCTTTCTCTGACTTATTTCACTTAGCATAATACCCTCCAGTTCCATCCACATTGCTGCAAATGGCCAGATTTCATTCTTTCTCATTGCCAAGTAGTATTCCATTGTATA